GCACTCCGTATTATGGAGTTTAAAAGACCGAGTAGAGTTTTTTTTTTTTTTTTATACGGGAGGCTGGAGTGGAGTACAGTATGTATGTACCATCATCCGTCACTATCCAAGGTAAAGAAAGCTTTAGGCTATGCCTAGACAGCATCTAGGAGAACTGAATATTAAACTAATACAAGTAGCCATACTGATACTATCTACGAAGTATTCTAACCCAGGTAAACTAGATGCTAGTGAGGCTACTAGCTCCTACTGTAGTTAGGCCGTCGCCGTGGACTTCCCCGAGGTGCCCGCGGATCTCGCTGCCCCATGGGTTACGGATGCCACGATACATACTTAAAACATCACCCGCACTGCCTCAATACTCCGCATGGTTGAGCTATCCATCCCAAGAGATGAAGGAGACATGCAACTCTAAATCTTTTCAAATGGTAGTATTTTCACGGTCTAGGATAAATCCTTGTCTCTACAATCCCCTCTCATCACCGGCCGAAACAAGTAGAATAGACGATGCACGCACCAAACCGTCCGACCAATTCCCTGCATTGGCCCGAGTGTACCTTCCAAAACCATCCAAAGTGCCAAACTCACAGAACATTTGACTTCGTGGATTTTTTTTTCTCGAATTTCTCATATCTCAATTTCACTCGACACTATCACCCTCATGGGACCGCCAAGCTGATCCAGACCATTGACGCCACACCCGCCGCGGTCTCGGTGCTGCCCGAGTTACCCGACAACGAACTTTCCGGCTGCAGGACTTAGTGTTGCGCATGTGATCGGGTGCGAAAAGGTTTAGAATACGCCCTTCTTGACGCAGCGGGGCCCTTGTTTTCTCGGTATGCCGTGGAGGTCCGTCGGGCTGAACGTATTTTTATCGTGATCTTCGGGGCGTAGGTGGAGTTTTACGACCTGGTGTGGATGCCTGGAAGGGTAACTATTGACCGCTAATCGGGAGGGCATAACTATGGTTCGAGTTGGAGTCGCCAAGACATGGGTATGAGAGAATAAGACTAGGCTAGCCGTTGATCTGAAGCTTTTTGATGGTCTAACAATAGCCTGTGGCCTAGTTTGGGGATTGCCGGTCAAGGATGCAGGATCTTTGCGAGTTGACCAGCCTAAGGTTGTTCGACCGTCGCTCCCGTCTTTGGAATGGAGGATTCGGTAGTCCATGAAACGTGATGAAAAATTTCGATCTCAGCCTGGATGACCACAGGTTATTTTGTCCCTATTTTGTCCTAGAACGCACCGTCTTTTTCCTTACTGGTTTGACTGCCTCCGATTCTCTCTTGACTCCAGGCTCATGGGTAGTAGACATCCACACCATGTAAGGCTTGATCAAAGACAGGAAACGTCTTGTAAACACAGGATATTATCTGTCTTGGGCTGTTTCCTCGCCTACTAATTCTTCTCTTTTTCACTATTCTGCATTTTGAAATGATCTTGTTTGAATTGTCCGATGCAAGGTTCCAGACCGACTTATGATGAAATCTATGCAGTGTCTCCGACGTGCTCTGCACCTTCCTCTACTGTGCCAGCTCAGTGACGGATGCCAACAAGACTGACATCAATCTATTGTACAATTTTGACGAGGAACTTGGCCGGAGGGAAGGGGAAGTAATGTAGGTGACGGTAAAATGCCGCCTCGGGAAATGATCGGCTCCCGGAGCTCAGAATGAGAGTATCATTACAACGAGTACTACAGCCATAGATGATCCTGTTCACTAACATTTGACTATAAGAGCATGGCAAACTATTACGCGAAGGAAATAGCCTATCGAGGATGAGCGTCGATTAGTCGAGTTGAGTATCTCGAGCTCAAATACCAGTATAATCCATCATGGATTGGTTAACTTCAGCCCAAAATTCATACTCGTCGACCTCGAGTATAGTGGATACAAGATCCCTCCATTCTAGATCTAACGCTTGCCACCGTAAGCAGAAATATTCCCTTGCCGATATACTATAGCCAGCTGCACTCCAGTCTACAATTCCGGTTATGACATTACCGTCCATAATTATATTGCTTTGGTGTAAATCACCATGCGTGAACACCTTTCTTTCGTCCTGGGTACCTGATACAAGAATTCTTTCCACCAGAGGCTCATCTCTCTTCGTGAGCTGAGCGTTGGGTCTGGAGTTGCGGAGAGCTTCTGCCACCCCTTTGTTGAATTCCATTCTTGTTAAGAAAGGTCTATAGTGCCGGGACTCTGCATCCCATGAATGCTGGAAGAGGATATCTTCGCATGGACCACCATTAATAGATACGAAAAGCGGCCCTTTAATCTGGCGCCACTCCTGGATAAAGACGTCTAGCTGTCGGACCATAGAACTCTTGGCATCTGGAGTCAAATTTTGCTAGCATTGTTCTAGAGTGGCACCTAGGATTTTTGACATCAAAATAAACCTGATATCGGCAATAGTGTAAGCGTTGAAGACTTCGGGGACGGGGACTGATGTCGTTTTCCTCAGAAGACAGAGGGCCTCCGCTTCTCCTATCTGAACCATAGGTTCGACTTTCAATATAGTTGATGCGTTGATCTCTAGGATTTTGCAGCCTCCCATACTATGAGGACATAAATCTTTCGCACTTTGAATCTCTTCCAGTGTGACAATCGGAGGCTGGTGTCTCATGGAGGGAGCAAAGCGTGTGTCGATATTAGACGAGAGGACATAGCGGATGTAAGTAATCAAGTCCCATTTTGAGGGCTGTCCGAGGGTTAGAAGTTTCACTCAAAACAAGGGTGTACGTACAGGGCTTTCAACTGGAGAATCCTCATCCATTTCGGGTAGACTGCCTCGAGACGTGGTATTGAAAAGCCTATCTTCGGTTTTGGCGAGAGATGGCGGGTGATGTGATGATGATATTCAGAATATAGTCCGATAAAGCTCCCTCTATCTATTTGGTGCTACCGTTTGTGGTGTAATGAAGGAATGCGAAAGGACAAGAGAAAACATGGTTCTTGGAGCGTGGCCTGCACAATCAGGCCATCACTATGGACTTTCACACCTTGGTTGCATCAACTCGAACGATTCGAGTTCGTCCGCCTCAACGAGAAAGTGCCGGGAGCCCACCATACAGACCCGCTTCTTGCAGACATTTTCACATCAGCGGGGGGCGGCCAAGGGCCAAGACGAAGATCTACTGTAAACAGGATCGGGACCTCCCTTTCCCCATCTTACCCGTATCAACAGACCTCTCCGTCCGCCTCCGCCCACCGAAACCCAAAGCCACGAATCCTACCAGCCACGGCAGCGCCTCATCGACGCCAAATTGACCATCCTACGCATCACCTTACGCAGCTGGGTCCCGATCCTGTACCTCCAAGCGCCCGCGGATCCTAGTCCTTGTCTGATAAGCCATGGATCCAAACTCAATCCTTTGAATGAGCAAGAAGATAATTGGACCCGGAGTCCATCGAGTTACCGCTTTCATCTGGAAATTCAAATTTCCAGATGACTGGCATATCTACTGTACGCGTGATCAGTAGGGTGCCCCCTTTGAGACTACCACCCGTGAGCTCCTACAAGTCTGGCCCAGTTACTGGTGGGATGGGAGGAAAACCTCCGCGGCGCTGGCGCTATTGCTTATTTGTGCCACGAGGCAGTGGCTTTTGAAGAGGCTTTTAGTTTAGTGTTGTTCTTCCGTATCCCTGTTTATCGTACGTACTCCCAATCAAAGAGTAGTGAGTGCATCGGCAGAGTACCGTCCTTTGCTCCGCAGGGCATACTGGCCAGGACTGGCGGGGTCGGCGGGACGAACGGGCCTCTGAGAGGTTGGAGGGACGCGTATGCGTCTGGCTGCGGACCGAATCGCGTCATTTGTTTCGGTATTATTCAAGTAGATCTGCGACAAGTACTTTGTAGCGTCCCCATGAAGAGTCAGATGGCCGTAGAGGACGCGTAGACAGCCAAGGGAAGGCTTGAATGTCTAGGTATACGGAAAGGAGTTTATCTGAGCTTCTGGGGCACATCTACGTGCCAAGAGCTCGTATGCTCCTCCAGATCAGTCTGGAGTAGTACGGAGTAACAACACGTATGTTTCGAATTCTGTGGGGCGGAGCGGGCGATTGGCGGAAATCGTATGGAGGATGCCGATGTACGAGGAGGAGGATCTAAAGTGTATGCAAGTATCTTCATAAGTTCAGTTCATACTGTATGTGTACTCATTGTCTGACTGGTGGAATGTTTCTATGTAGTTGGTTCCTTAGATTAATAGTATATCTTCTCATTGATATATCTTCTTATCCAGACAAATAGAACGGCTGCCCCGGAGATAAACGCAGGTTGTGGAAATAGAATCCGCGAGTAGAATGAGTGAGTACCCCACGCCATAGAAGGAGGGTATTTCAATTGACCTACTGTAGAGCTCTACTCAACGATAGAGATAAACCTAAAGAGAGGCTCTGGACTACCCAAGAATCTCTATAGTCTCAAATCCACGCAATTACAATGTCCTGGGAGGAAATTCCTCCGTACGGAGGATTCAGAATTCGGACTCGCTATCTGATGTTCAGCCTCGACGCCTCCACAATTCCAAGAGGACGCGAAGCAGACTGGGCTGACGAGGGTTGCCGGGGTGGCGCAGACTTTTTCAGAAGGGCCAACCAGTCAGATTCGTCAACCATTGTTGGATCGCTTCCGATAACCTGAACGAATACGACTTTCGCCAAGGGTCTCTGTCTAGATTTCGTACCAACTCGCATGATCACTTACCCTCTCAAGAGAGACAGGATCAAGATTTTGGGGGTCCGCGGCGGGGCAAACTGGGCCTGGTTCTTTTTTTTTTCCATGATTCATGTCCGGATGGGGAAGAGCGGAGAAGCTGGGAATTGTAAAACCATCCGTCAGCCAAGACTTGATGGGGCCAAGCCACGAAGAGATTCGCAGATCGGAAGTGTCGGGGTGGGAAAAAGGTGGAAACGATCTCTCGCATCGCCTGGAACGGGCAACTGGCCACACGAGAAATCGATAAAAGTGTTTGAACTCCCGCTCTCTCCTTCCCCAACCCATTTACCCGCCGTATCCTTCTACTTCGCAACTCCTCCTCCTCCTCAATTTCCTTCTTCTATTAGGTCCCTTATAGTCATCTATCTTATCCGCCCGACTACTTGTTTCCCTCTTTTTCTTCCTCCCACGGTAATTACTGGCGGTGTGGTATACTGTATCAATACATTCTTGTCACCGAACCGCCCCCCTTTTGCGACACGACCAGAAATCAAAAACCCGCCAAAAGAAACCCCTATCGCGCCCTAGACGACGGGCTGGGTGTATATACTTTCTTAACCGAACATACCACTGTCGATCTCTGTATAGCGATTACGAAACCATGCGATTTTCGGCTTCAAGCCTACTGGGGCTCTATGGCCTTCTCTTAGCCTCCGTCTTCACCGTGGCCCAGCCCGCTGGCGACACCGACTTTATGAGTGTGCGCGAGAACGTCGCCAAGGACTATGAAAGCGAGGGCGAGATTCCTACGACGAAATATTTCAGTAAGCCTCCATTCTTTTCGGCTTGATCCGAGCCAGCCCGCGCGGCCTTGGCAATGGCCCCGGCTGGGCCGGTCTTCGATGCTTTACTGACTTGTATCGATTCTAGCGGAGTCCTCGTATGTTGATCTCTTGAATACGAATACGGTTTAACGGTACTAACAATCTTTCTTGCAGCTTCCATTATCACTATGATGGCCGGTATGTACCTCATTGCTAATGATCCATGGTCGTTGCTTGCCCCGCTAACGCCTGTCGCCAGCTTTGCGACCCAGCCCCTCCCCGACGACAAAGTCACACCTCACCTTTCCGCCCTGATTCAGACCTACCTATCGACCATGTCATCTATCGGCGCTGAGACTTGGATCATGCATGGCACTCTTCTTTCCTGGTGGTGGAATCAAAAGGTATTCCTGCCAACTACCCCAGCGGCTGTCACCCAGAGCCTCGCCCATACAATAGAACCCGATCGCTAACAAGCGGTTCCTTAGATCTTCCCATGGGACAATGACCTCGACGTGCAAATCTCCGAGCCGACTATCCATTTCCTGGCAGAATTCTATAATATGACGGAACACCACTTCGACCTACCCGACGTTGACGGTGGCCGCAAATATCTTCTTGAGATCAACCCCAACTACGTTGTCCGCAGTGAAAAGGACCATTTGAACGTGATCGACGGGCGCTGGATTGACACTTCGTCCGGCCTGTTCATCGACATCACCGCTGTGCGCAAAGATGACGCTCGACGCCAACGTGGTCAAACGGAGGCTCTGATGTGCAAGGATCGCCATCATTACCTGGAGAGCCAGATCTTCCCGTTGCGGGATAGCTACTTTGAGGATGTGCCGGTTAAGATTCCGTACAGTTATACCTGGCTATTGGAGGAGGAATATGGACCCAGGGCCCTGACGAATAAGGATTTCCAAGGGTATGTTTCCATTCTTTCTCCCTATGGATCCCTGTGCTAACTGTTCTACTCAGACACAAATTCAACGAAGACAGCAAGATCTGGGAGCGGACGAAGTGAGTGACTACGGAATTGTCCTTACATATTCGAGATTCTCAGGCTAACATACCACCTCCAGACGCAACGTCAAGCGTTTTCTCCGCCGACGCTGGCGTATGAGTGATTTGCCCACTCGCTCAGCCAACAACCAACCTCTTGTTCGCATGGACGCATCTTGATCACCGTGCTTTGCATTTTCATCAGCATTTACATCTGCATTTTGTATAACCTCCTCTTTTACTTCAGCGTGATGGTCATTTCTGCCTATATTTTCCTTTTGTTCCTCTTCTCTTTACATTTGCATGGCGTTGGATTTCCATAGTGGACATATTTGACGGGGGTGCTTCTGTCGATAGGCCGATCAAAACTAAAACACACCTTGTACATAATATTGATGGGTTTATGGTATACTCACAACAATGAGTCGACCGTTTGACTGTCAATTTTTCTCATTCTTTAACTTTCAGTAGAACACATGCCATGCAAGAAGTGGATCTGAAGTTAAAACAGGTGGTGGCATCGTGGCTACGTGCTATAATCCTTGGCGGAGCTTGGCATCTTCATTAACTTTGAGCATTAGTAATGAGATGCTTCTGAGAATAACTAGCTTCTTCCACAGTCAAGAAAACGAGGTTCTCTGCATGATTAGTAACATTCTCGTATCCATTCGAGAACCCGTACACGTAGCTACAGGTTCGCTTCAGAGAACTAGGATGACATCCATACTCAGGTATCCCACACCAAAACGAGATTTGGTCTGCTTGTTTTCCAGTTTAGCCATATCACCGAGATAACTCAATCACATAAATCAATTTCTACTATTTGTATCTGGTAGTGATAGAAGATGCCTCCGTCGGCTGTGGACGGGATTATCGGAGCTTCTACGAGCTCCTGCGGAGTTTTATCTCAGCTCCGGCTGAATACTCCGCACGTAACGGGGGTGAAAGAAGTGGGAAAAATTGTTCAACTTTGAGAGAAAATGAAGTATAGTATAGGTGTAGTATATAGAAATGCAACATTGTAACTTTAAGAGAAGAAGTTACCCCCCTCTATCTCATTCTTCAGTCCACAAGGCTGAGCAGAGCAATGCAGTTTCGGGGATAACGCGAATTTACCCAAAATGGACGGGCAAAGCAGGCTGAGTCACGGGTCACATGTGCTCCAGGTCTGGCCCCTTTGAATACGGACGACGAGACTGGGCGTCCCTTTTTTTTTGACCGCCAGAAATCTCCTTCTATACAACACGTCTGCCAAGTTGGAAGGGCAAAGAATGCGGGTAGCTTCGTCTTCCCTTGGGTTGTCATGTCCTTTCACTCTGCCTCTCCGGAGGGGCTGAACTCCTCCCCCGCCAGTGAGAATTCTCCGAACAGTGCGCGCGCTGGCGTGCCCGCCACCGCCCCCCGCCCGGCCCCGGATATAGCCAGCGTGCGGAGCTGTGTAACTTGTCGACGCCGGAAGGTCCGCTGTAATAAGCGTTCGCCTTGCTCGAATTGTGTCAAGGCCGGGATTGACTGCGTGTTCCCCCCACCGGGCCGAGCCCCGCGCAAGTCTAAGCGTCCGCCCGATGCCGAGCTCCTTTCGCGCTTGCGTCGTCTCGAGGGCGTCATTCAGCATTTGAGTGGGAAGAATGCCGATCATGCCGGGTCGTCATCTAGTATCTCGCCGACCCAACCGTCTACAACATTTTCTCCCCCTCTCCCTACGATTCCTCCTACCACCGTGACCGCGCCGTCGACTGCTCCCGCCTCCGCAGCACCGCCCGCTCAGGACTCGGGTTGTCCGTTTGAGAATGACGATCCCAAGAAGCTTGCGCCGAAAAAGTTCGAGAATGAGTTTGGGAGACTGGTTATTGATGAAGGCAGGAGCCGATATGTGAGCAATCGGCTGTGGGCGAGTCTTGGGGATGAGGTACGTGTAACCGACTTGTCCACCTATCAATCACCTGCCGATAAACTGTGCGACATGAGCTGATGAACTCACCTCGGCCTTAGATCGAAGAACTTCAAGACATTTTAGACCACTCCTCATCCGACGAAGAGGATGTCCCCTCTCCAGAATCCTCCCATTCCGGCTCCCACGATGGCTTTCTATTCGGATTCTACTCCCTGTCGCACTCACTCAGGGAGTTTCATCCGATTCTACCCAGGGTGTCGATGTTGTGGGAAGCTTACAGAGAGAATGTTGCACCTCTAATCACTATTGTCCACAAGGGAACGGCTCGGAGTTTGTTGGTCGAGTCTGCACGGAATCCGGAATCGTTGGATAAGAACAACGAAGCCCTCGTGTTCGCCATTTACTTGTCGGCTATTGTCAGCTTGAAAGATGAAGAATGTATGGCCCGATTGGGCGAAGAGCGAAGCGTCTTGGTTAAACGCTATCGCTTTGCCGTGGAACAGGCTCTGTCGAGGGCTGGTCTCCTCAATACACAGAGCTTGGTGCTCATCCAAGCAGCAGTCCTATTTCTGATTTGCGTTCGACGAGAGGACGACTCCAAATTTGTTTGGTCCATGAACTCGGTCATTCTCCGCCTTGCTCAAGGTCTGGGATTGCATCGGGACGGCACCAACTTCTCCCTGAAGCCTTATGAGACAGAGATGCGCCGACGCTTGTGGTGGCACATTTGTCTAATGGATGTTCGTGCTTCTGAAGACCATGGGACGGATCCTCAGATCAACGAGAACATGTACGACACTCGACTTCCCTTAAATATCAATGATGACGATATCACGCCAGAGATGACCGAAGCCCCGAATGAACGCGAGGGTGTGACCGATGTCACTTTCTGTCTAATTCGCTGTGAAATCACTAGCGCTCTGCGGCGCGCAAATTACTCTTGTCCAGGTATTCGATTCCGCATGGGCGAGACTGTTCCCGGAATTGAACGCTGTGAACGAATGATCCAGATTATCAGCAGTCGTGTCGAGGAGCGTTACATCAAACACTGCGACATGAATATTCCGATCCACTGGGCCACGGCGACAGTGGGTCGTCTCATTCTTGCAAAGCTGTGGCTGGTTGTGCACCACCCGATGACCCGAAAAGATCGCGTCCTCAACGTGTCCCAAGCCACTCGCGAGAGTTTGTTCCTAACAGCAATCGAGGTCCTCGAATTTGGTCGGTTGCTGGAAACTGACCCCAAGACCGCAAAATGGGGCTGGCTATTCCGTACTAACATGCAATGGCATGGAGTCGCATTCGTTCTATCCGAGGTGTGCGTTCGTCCAATTTGCCCAGTCACCGATCGGGCTTGGAGTGCAGTCCAGGGTCTCTACTTGGACTGGGAACGTCAGGCAACACACAAGAAGGGCATGCTATGGCGCCCGCTAGCCGCGTTGATGAAACGAGCCGCCTCAACTCGAGCAAAACAACAGGAAGAACTCCTCACCAAGTTTGGTCCAAACCCCGCAGGTTATAAATATGATCCCACCGACTTTGCATTGACACACCACCACGCCCTCCCACAAATACACATGCCGAACAATCTACCGCTTCCCTCCTCGATTCCTCCATCCCAAAACCAACCAATCCAAGAAAAACCCGATCTGGATATCAATCTGAACCAGGGACCCTGGGAGACGTTGCAGAGCATCTTTCCCAATACCAACTTCTTGGCACCGGTCACTCTTGATAATCCCCCGCCGCAGGAACCGGTCTCGGCAGTCAGCGTGCCTACGGGATTGTCATTCAATTCGCCCATGAGTAACAACACATTCATGAGCCAAGTCAACATCCCGGAGACTACTACGCTTAGCTGGGATGAATGGGACCAAGTTATGCGCGACTTCCAGATGGATGTTGAAAATGACGATACAGAGCTCGGAAAGGGTACTCATGTTACGGAATGGTTTGCATGATGTCTGCTCTGGTTGATGCTTGATGGTGTGACTCCTCCCCATATCCCTCAACTCCGTTCTGGGGTTTTGGTGTCTTGATATATATGTTTTTTGGGCGCTCTCACCTCTTCTGGGGTTGATTTATCATGAAGTGACGACATATGCTGTAATCTTGTTAAGGTTGTCTTTTGGCAGTCTCTAAATTCCCCTCCACTCAATGTGAATTATATTTGACTTCTCTCTTAATAAAATACCCATAAACCCAGCTGTGGAATGTTCCACTACCGACCTAGTATTACGGAATCCTAGGTATTTTGAACGCATACTCGAAAGTACTAGGGCTGCGCTCGTTCTCCTTCAAGGCGAATGAGCACCATCATTATTTAGTTTATGTTGTCGAGTATCACCCGCCGCAGTCAGCCACAGACACAGCGAGATGGGCTTACGATGATGGCTGCAACTAAGAAACGATGCAAATGAAAGTTAATTTATATCACCTGATCACCCTTTCCACATTCTATCGCCTATTAGATTGCCGTGCCACCCCTTGTAATAAATTAATGATGATCGCGCGTTGTACAGCCACAACCATCATCGTCCGCGAAAACAATGACATCATAGCTTCCCTATCAAGATCTATATCAATGTCGTCAAACCGACCCTCAACTCTTCAGACCACTCGGACTACTTTTACACATCAAAATTCCAAGGAGAACCATTCTATTTTGACATAAACAATCAATAAAAAATACTACCTCCGATAACAAACCACACCTTCATACATCCAACTTTCACAACTCCAACTCACCACCAAAATGCCAATCAACACCTCCTCCCAAGACACCGGCGTAACGGGCGCCGCCAAATTCGTCACCTCAACTCTGGGAAATACAGTTGGGGGCGTGACTCGCACCGTTGGCGGCGTCACTGGAGCTGCGACGCGCGGTGTGGGCGACACTATTACCAGTGCTTCTGGGAGTGCGGGAAAGCCCGTTGGAGATGCGATCGGTAGTGCCGGGACCGGGGTTGAGGATGGGGCTAAGAGGGTTGCGAGGGGTGTGGAAGATGCTGGGCAGTGGAGGTGAATGGGCGAAGGTCAAGCTGAAGATGGTGGCAGGACCGTGAAGGCACATTGGGATTTGGTTTGAATTTGTATATAGTTCGATGTTCTTGGGCGGTAGCTGATATTGACACGAAGAGGTTGGCATGCCAATGCTATAATTTTTTTTGTGACGCGGGAGCCATATGTGGATAACAGAGAGGATTAGGATACCTTCAATAATAACCCCCCTTGAATGACTACAATCTCCTTGCATAGGAGATGATGGCTCCATGTACTATCAAATCAATGATTATGAGGCTGGAGTTGGTCCTTAGTACATTGCGGTTTGCTCCTATGCTCATCGAGAACTCAAGAACCTTGTGTCTGAAAGGGCCCCCTCGCATCAATTTTGGTCATGAAACTAATATCATTCAGTAGGGTCAATCCTGATCTTCAAGTGAGAACCATTCATGGTCCAATTTCACTTTCTTAACCGTGTATAGTTAGTTGGTGATGTACTTCCACATCCACCAATGGCGGCATATCAGCCACGTGACCCGTCCCGATAACGAAGCTCCCAGCTGGCATCAATTGATCTTCCTTTCCCCACGCCATTGAGTTATTCAACAACCTTGAATTGCTTCCAACAGTGCGGCGCTCCTTTAGTATCCTGCAAAGCATTCCACTGGAACTTTCTACATCCACTCCCAAAACCCATCGCCCGCCCATTTTAGCAACCATGCCTGCCAAACGACACGCGGCCTCAACCACCTCCGCGCCGGCACCCGTTACGCCCGCAACCCTCTCTTCGGGCCCCTCGACCCTGAAGACTAATGCTTCTGCCGCTGCAATTGCGCAACATGTCTGGGAGCAGTACCTTGCGACTACCCCGCAACGCACATTGCTCCTAGATGCTTTCATGGCATTCCTAGTTCTCGTCGGTGGACTCCAGTTTTTGTATTGTGTGCTGGCCGGAAACTACGTAAGTTGATTATGAATTATGCAGCATTGGCGAATGCGTGGAATTCTCGATTGCTTCAATTCCTACTTATGGATCCAATCTGACCATTGTTTTCGCATCTAGCCTTTCAACGCCTTTCTCAGTGGCTTTAGCGCAGCTGTCGGCCAGTTCGTCCTCACGGCCAGTCTTCGTATGCAAACAAGTGATAGCGGTTCCGGATCATCCAGCAAGCCAAGCTCCAAGGGGAAGAATGCGCGTTTCGCAGACGAGGATAATGAGAATCAGGGCTCTGGTACCTCGCACGAGAGGTGAGTTAATCGCGGAACTGGTTTTTGGATCGTTCTGACTCGGGGTACTGATTTTACTAAATAGAGCTTTTGCCGATTATATCTTTGGAAGTCTGATTCTACACTTCTTCTGCATCAACTTCATCAACTAAATCACTCGGCCTTTTCATCGCATTAAGATACTCGCTCTTCGCTTTTTCTGGCGCTGGTCCGTTCGACAAAGGGCAGGACAACCTCGATATCTGATGCTCAACTTGGTTCTGGTTTCTTAAGCGCCAATCGCAGATGTATACTGCTGTGTCTCTGCCGACTCTGAAATTCCAATTTAAATGATCTCTTTTTGTATAAAATACCAATGCGAATCATGGAGTTTCGAAGAATGGCACTGCACTGGTCGATTAAACAACACGTAGATCGTGGAAGAAGGGTTGAGATGGAATGATGGGTATCTTATTCAATGACTCTGGATGCTTGCAACAGAAGTCCAGGCTTCTAAAAGTGATTTGTATGGATTTGGTACGGCTGTATGTGAACAGCATGTCGTGCAAGCCAATACCATCAGACGATTGCCTTAAAATTGTCCTGGCCTCCTCCGGCCGATAGGCTTCTTCACCACACTGCCTCCGGAGCCATTGCTTCCAGCATCAGGCCGAGGGGAGGGAGATGAGGAAGCAGTCACCCCGCCAATCGGCCTTTTGCCACCCTTGATAACAGCAGGCCGACGCACAACCGACCGGGCTCCCCCAACTTCGATCTCGGTCTTGCGTCGTGTAGAATCAACTTCTTTCTCGGCCTCTTTAGCCCGAGAAGCAATCGCACGAGCATCTGCCATCTCTTGCTGGATCTGCATGCTTTTATTGATTTCTCGCTCTTTGATGCGACGGTCACGCTGAGAGTAGCCTTTCTCTTTCATGGAATAGAAGACACCACCGAGGTCGGCAAGCCACTAGATAAACGCAGTCAGCTAATGATGTACGCCAAACAGAACGACGTAATTAACTTACCTCAGGTTCGACGGCCGTCACAACAGACATGTACTCTCTGGCTGTCATCCTCAACTCGTGGTAGACAACGAATGGAGGCGCATCACTCAGCCCGGATAGGGCACTTGACCTTTGCAGGTACATAGATACACTGGTGCGAAGATTGAGGTATTCTTTTTCACTGCCACTGCCACCTCCTCGTCGCGCCGCTTGGTGATAGAAGCCGGAGCAAATGCACTTGCGAATAACATCCCAGTCCGTGCCGCAGCTGACAAGTGGCATCTTTTGCTGTGTCATAATATCTTGGAATTGATCACGGACTTCCTTGGCCTGTCTCAAGTTTTTCGCATGAAGGAAGTGCCGCGTACACCAGCGGTCGGAGCAACCATTAGCCTTCCACTGTGTAAAGACATGGAGTAGAGTTAGATGGTCCGATTCATGAACATAGAACTTTTCATGCGCTGAGTCGGCCTCTTCCTCGCGTTCCCTCGGTCGGTAGAAGACATGGGGGACTGTGAGCATGGACACGATGGTCAGCATTTCCTCACTGCAACCGTACACCTCGGAAGCCATTATGATAAGTTTGGCAAGCGCCGGATCAGCGGGGAAGGGTGTCATGCGGCGGCCCAGTTGGGTAAGTTCACCCAGGTTGTCCAGAGCTCCAAGAGCCCAGAGTTCGAACAGGGAGGTAGACATGACCTCTTGCGAAGGGGGATCCATAAAGTCGAACTCAAGAAGATCCTTAACGCCAAGAGACTTCAGCAGCAACACTGTGTTTGCAAGACTTGTACGTTGAATTTCTGGGATTGTCTGCATGTAAAGCTCATTCTTAAAGGCCGACTCGGTGTACAAGCGATAAGCTTTTCCGGGACCAGTTCGTCCGGCACGGCCAGATCGCTGATTGGCATTGGCCTGGGAGATCGGGGTGATTTGAAGACTGTCCATGCCCATTTTGGGGTTGTACGTCTTGAGCTTGGAGTATCCTGGATCCACAACGTACATGATTCCGTCAATAGTCAGACTGGTTTCGGCAATGTTGGTGGCCACAATGACCTTGCGAACCCCATTTTCTGCCCTCTCAAAGACCTTTGCCTGTTGCTCTGCCGGCAGTTGACTGTAAATTGGCAAGATACTGAGTTTTGGCGGATCGTTGAGCAGATTCAATCGTTCTTCAATGAGCTCGCAAGTTGCTTCAATATCTTCTTGTCCAGTCATGAAAACTAGAATATCGCCAGGGCCCTGCGAGACATGGATGGTCAAGACCTGCTTGACCGCACTGTCGACGTAATCTTCACATGGGGACCGGGAGAAGTGAAGGTCCACGGGGAATGTTCTGCCAGGAATGATGAACTCTGGCGCTCCACCGAAAAAGCGCGAGAAGCGCTCTGAATTCATCGTGGCCGATGTGACAATCAATTTGAGATCTCTTCGTCGAGCAAGAACCTTTTTAAGAAGACCCATCAAGACGTCCGTATTTAGGCCTCTCTCGTGTGCTTCATCCATGATGATGCAGGAGTATTTATCCAAATCCGCCTGTGCCAAAGACTCTCGGAGCAGGACACCGTCCGTCATGTCTGTAGTAGCGCAAATGAGTCAGTATGACATGAAGCTCATCCGAATGGTAGGGATCTCAACTCACACTTGATTACAGTTTTATCGCTGGTACAGTCCTCAAATCGAATAGCATATCCGACGAGATCACCAAGGTCCACCTCCATCTCTTCACTGACACGCTTCGCGACACTCATAGCTGCCACACGACGAGGCTGTGTACATCCAATCATGCCCAACTTTGAGTAGCCATCTTCATGCAGGAACTGAGTTAGCTGTGTCGTTTTTCCAGAGCCCGTTTCACCCACGACAACAACGACTTGATTATCCCGAATCACGCGCAGAAGATCTTCACGCACTGCAAAGGCAGGAAGATACTCTCTTTGTTCGCGCAAAGTCTTGCTCTTGCTAAACGAACTCGACCCGCCTTCATCCTTCTTGAGGTGCTGAGCAAACTTGTTTCCTCCCCGCTTGTAGACCTCTTCAACCGGTGCAGCGACCGCACTGTCACCTTCCTCCTCCTCCTTGACGCCCATAAGATTTCCTAGCGTGGTACCCGCCATCGTCGTCGCATCCTGGGCTTGCCTCTGCCGCTCCCGCTGCTGTCGACGTTCCCGCACAACCTTGCTTCCCTTCCTACTGAAGACAGCCATGTCACTCTGGGGATCTCGAATGGCGGAAATCGGGTCCAGCTGGGTGGTGAAGATCGTGCGGCCATCGAGGAAGGGAGGTCGAAGCTCGTGGACACTCAGATGTACTCGAGTGTCCTCTTGGTCTTCAGCAAGATTGTGCGCATGTTGAATTCCAGTCTGTTGTGCAAGGCCCGACTTCACAAGCTGCTCTCGATGCCACATTTGATCATGATCGTGTTGAAAGTGCCCAGTTCTCTGTCGCTTGGCTGGCGGGACTCCATGGCCTGCCCCATTGCGATCCATGATAAGAGAATCAATCTGAAACGTAGGTCAAGGCTTGAATTGATCCTGCTGAGAGCTTCACTCCGTGCGGCGTATCTCGAGATGGTTGGAAATTCTGAGACAAACAGTGCAAACACCTCGTTATCAGTCACGTGAGAGATCAGCTTGTGCGAATATCACAGCGCAATTCCCCATCTGCGCAGCACAAGAGTCAAGAAATTATTTTTGTAAATATTCTTGAGTGGTGACTTAAATCAAGCAATTGCAATTCAAAAGATTCTTGCCATCCAAATGTGTAGATAAGTGGGAGAAATCCACATGCCACTTGCCGAGCCCATGGAACAACTAGCAAGCGCCCCGCATCGTCATCTCGACTTTTGAGCTACCCATCTCTCCCTGTCCCCTGCCAGCACGACCGTCACAATGTCCAGCCAACAGCAAGTAGACCCTAAGAAGCAGCAGGGTAAGAAGAATCCAGACCCACATACTGATGGAACTACACAATGGCTGACAAAACTCTCCACAATAGAGCTGCAGCTCCAGTACACCAACTTCAAGAACACACTCCAACAACTAGCGCAGAAGATCGGAGACATTGAGCAGGAGGCTGAGGAGCATAAGTAAGTTCTGCAGGGCTTGCACTACCTTCGCGCTACTTAAGAAGACAGGGAGGATACTGTGCGATGGAACAGGCCTCCTGGGAGCGAAGACGAAGGCGCACCTTTGAACACATGGATGCTAATTCATTCTGAACTGGCATAGACTCGTCATCGAGACATTGGACCCTCTTCCCGAAGATCGCAAATGCTTCCGCATGGTTAACGGCGTCCTGGTAGAGCGTACGGTGAAGGATGTGCTGCCGACCCTCAAGACGAACTCGGATGGCCTGAAGCAGGTGCTGGAGGATATGCTGAAGCAATACAAGTTGAAACAGACGGAGCTGGATAGCTGGAAGGTGAGTTCAGGATGAATCTATCTGCCAATCCACATGCCAAGGGCAGGCCTCACGCCCTGGAGGCATTCATTCCCAGACCAGGAGTATTGACCATTTTCGCTTGAATTTTACAGAAGAAGAACAACATCCAGGTTGTGCAGCCTTAAGGACAAATGCTTCGGTTACACCTTTTGATACCCGGCCTTTTCCAACAGTTGCACGTGTGGGCGTATGAGCAGGAGATCATTGGCGTTTATGGGAATGGCAACAAAACTAGAGAACCTAGCATGATTCATCTTTGATCATAGCGAATTAAAAATCATAATCAAACATGACATACAAGTACAAATGGCCACTGTGATTAATGAAATCTATGAGTATAGCCCTATTAGGATGACTGTGTCCATAATGGTATTCATGTTGCCTCTCGAATATTTACAATCAGTAATGAATGCCCTTGATGTCACTGGTCATGCAGTGGTGAATCAAGTGACCGGATCCAAATGCCCAGAACACGATCATGGACAATGCCAAATCATCATTTGAAATCCTCTTTGCTTTTGCATGTCAGGGTATGCAAGCCTGGGTGCCTGACTTCCCGGTGGTCAACCTATTTCGTCAGGCCTTCAGCAACCCAACCTCAAGGATCACAATCTAGGCATCTAGACTTTTTTTGAATAGGTATGGTATCTTGATAAATTTGGATTTTAAAATGCAGGGAAAACGAAATTTGAGTTCATGGAAGAGATGTAATATTAGCAATACCAGTTATTACATGAGTCTGTATGTGACTATGGTAGATCTACAAGATATATGTGTACATTACAGTACTGTATTGTACGGTGCCTGGATTCTCTGCCTTGTCGCCTGAGGCGGCCATGATCGGATGCGACTTGCGACGGCTCGCGGCCTCCCCTCTTTGACTCTTTGACACTGTCATTGTCACCTTCATCCTCCTCAAATCAACAGAATCTATAACTCTGCTCCGTTGATTCTGCAAACATCAAGGTGGCTGTTGTGGTCTTTGTGACAACTATATCTCCCTGCTCATATCTACTTGGGTAAGTAGCCAACCGCCGCGCTCGTTCGGGGGGCAGTTCTGGTTCGCCAATTCGCCCTCTGGATGGACGGGGGACCCTCTTCTCCCAACCGCCGCCAGCAGCGCCCTGACCCTTGTACAGACGAATCAGGATAATAAGAAAATATACCTAAATTACATCACGATACCCTGGGTCCCTTTTCCCTCCCCAAAGGTAAGCTCTACCCCCCAGTCGTGAGTCAAGTTGGGCTCGAGGACTCCTCCCCTCAAAGCCCTTGACCCACCTGCGACGCTTCCCGCGTTGCATCCCGCGTCACCATCTCCTCCAGCACTGCGCTCACAAGGCCTCCCTGTTCCCTCTCCCAACGTGTGAAGTGCGCATAATTGGCATTTGTACCGCAGCTGCCGGTGCGACGCGATCGCGATTCAACCACCCGATTCCTCCCAAATCCTCATCCGATCTATTCCTGTTTCGGCTCCGCTAATCGGGTGTCATTGCGCGCGTCGCAAGTACAGCCAGCTTCCGCGCATTATTGCCAAATCCCCCGCTGCGGCTGACATTTTTCCTCCCTGAGGCTACTGTGAAGCGGTACGTACCCAGCCAATACAGTTCTCACTTCATCCGACGCGGCGTGGGCTATCTCGGAATCTCTGGGTGCGCCATTATTTAACCGAACTGACGTGGTCGCTGCCAGCAGAGCGAACAACAAAGCTTGACGCCCGAAGGATCCGCGCGCCTCTTAAACTACTCATAATCATGTCGGAATCACAGTCGCACTCCCCCAAGGAGCATGAAGAGCCCGGGGCGCAATCCGGCGAAGAGCAAGAGCAAATGGACAAAGATCAGCAAGATGCTCAAGGACAGGGTCAGGGCGAGTTCGAGGTAAAGGAGCAAGATCGGTGGCTTCCGATTGCAAATGGTTAGTTGCGTCTCCTTGCAGGTTGTTGATGGTTCTGATTTGCGCGTACCTTACTGCTGATGGCCGGCCATTGCCATTCACTCTTTCCTTCCCCGCCTTTATCCACCATACATCCTGAAAGCACTATTGCAATGTCGCCATCCGACTTGATTTCTGCACTTTTGGAATGACAGGACTCGACGTCCGAATTCTCAGAAACGTCGATCTTGTTCTTTCGTTTTCTACCCTCTCATATTGTCTTCTTCAACCACGAGACAAAGACAATACAAACAGGGTTGATAATCATGCACGTGCTAATCTATAAATCTTATAGTTGCTCGCATCATGAAGCTCGCTCTCCCTGAGAATGCCAAGATCGCCAAAGAAGCCAAAGAATGCATGCAAGAGTGTGTGAGCGAGTTCATCTCGTTCATTACTAGCGAGGGTGAGATGAGACGCCCCTTTCATTACCGCTCACCCCCGGCATATGACTGATACTACTTGATTAGCATCCGAAAAGTGCCAGCAGGAGAAGCGCAAGACTGTCAACGGCGAGGATATCCTGTTCGCCATGACTTCGCTTGGATTTGAGAACTATGCCGAGGCCTTGAAGATTTACCTTTCCAAGTACCGCGAGGTCAGTTCAATCTACAATGTCTCGACATTTCGGTGACGCTAATTCTTTGAAAGACTCAATCTGCCCGAGGCGAAAACCAGGGCCGCCCCAGTAGCAGTGGGTATGGTGCCGGTGGCCCCGTCGGAGGAGCCGGTCAAGCTCGTCCTGCTGGATTCCCAGAGGGCGCAGAGGGTGCGAACAGTATTCTGAACCCCAGTTTGGATCCAGCAGATCAAGATGCTGCCGCATACGGATATCCGGCTATGGTGGGCCAGCCGCACAACGGTGCTGGCGGAGAGTCTTACTAGTTCCAATCACTCTATTCGTTTGACTGGTGACACTTGATATTCTCAAATGGCGTTGATCAAGGACTGCCTGCGGTGGCTGTCACTTATTTGGTGGAATCTTTGACTAACGTTGATATCGGTTGGATTTGAGGAATGGGAGTGTGAGGCGTGCAAGGCGTCCAGGGTCTCTTTATCCAGTTTCCTACGAGTCACTTCGACTGATCTCTCAGTTCTCGATCGTCGGTCGACAATGCTTTGGGCCTACTCAAAGTTCGGTGGAGTAACTAGAATACATTCGACTCGACAGAGGGTCTAGTTCCAATCATCTTTGCTTTCATGCTTTCATGCTTTCGTGCTTTCGTGCTTTCGTGGCAAGCAGATTCCTTCCATTTAGGGCTACTCGCCGGTTATTTTTGGCGTTTTCATGGGAATTGAGTGGACAAATGAATTGATACAATTTGTGTACTTATGCCTGCTGGCCATTCTGAGGAATCCTTTTGCCCGATAGAAAGAAGACGACTCACGGCAATACTTCGTTTCTGCTGATAAGCTCTATCAGTGCCACCATAACCGGCTTTCAACCGGCTGCGTTTTGTGTTCGATTTCAGTGTCCAGGTCAGGTCAGCTCTAGATTTGCGAGACTTATCGATCCTTAAGCACTTATCTCCGAATACTTTCCGTGCTTTCCGACGCCTATCTCTCGTGTTTTCGTGACATTTCCATCGTATCCCACCGTTTTAGTTACATAATCGGCGCCCTTCTCCGCACCACGTGAGACTCCACCGGACCCGATCCCGCAGTCCTCAACTTCCCGAACTTTTTCGCTTCACAGTCGCATTGATTGTCCTGTTACCCTCGGCAATCGACTGTGCTCCTCATGATGCCCTGAAAGTACTGGTGAGAATTGCTCGCAAAATAATGTAGAGCAGTGGCCAATCTGCACATGGAATGATGTCGATGGTCCTTCTGCCATGTCTACCGCCAACGATAACGCCTCCTCGCCGCTCCCGGGCGATGGGGTGAGCAAGCGCAAGCAGGGTACGCACTTTATGAACCCCTTTTTTCCGAGTCCGAATTGTCTGTCTGAAGAGATGGCCTCTTCAGTAGAGAATATGATTGTCCTCTTAATTGGCGCCGGCTTTCCAGCCCTCGGAGACTCTATAACGTTTGCTGACCGGTGACTCGAAATCTTTTAGGTTCGGCTGCCTGCGTTCATTGTCACCGGCGCAAGGTTCGCTGCGATGCCCGTGTCGTCGGATTACCTTGTACAAACTGTCGCACATCTGGAAAGGCCGACTGTCGCATCCATGAAAAGAAAAAGCGCCTTGCAGTGCGGTCAATCCTCGATCCTGTTCCGATCCGATCTCGGCCTTTGCCGACTTCAGAAAGCGTCGCCAACCCACCGACGACAGCGGGAACACCTTTACCTCCAAGCTTCCCGACTACTTTTTCAAATGGCTCGGGTATTGCATCTCTCGCGAGCAATCAACAACATGAGTACCAATCGAATTCCGGGTCCGATGCATTCGGGCGCCCCGACTTATCTCACGCCCACGAGGCTCACACGGAGATGGAGCAGCATCTCGTGAAACTCATCGATGAGGAGGAATCCGGCCGGCGAGAGATCCAGAGAGGTGTGCGCGCATTCTACGTTGGTCATGAACACTCCAATATGTCGTTTTTGATCCGCCAGCAGCGAGATCGGGACGACAATGTATACCATTTCGCCAGCAACGAAATTCCACGGCGACAAATGAAGACTGGTCACGACCAGCTGCTGATGGATGCCCTCACTCTCCCCGAGCCTGCACTAGCGGATGAGCTAGTGCGGGCATATTTCACTCACGTTAACCCCGGTTATCCAATCGTCGACGAAGATTTGTTCATGACCCAGTATCGGAATCGAGACCCTGCAGATCCTCCGCCAATCTTGTTGCTCCAGGCTATTCTTCTGGTTGGCACGCACGTGTCTCGTCCAAAGGCAGAGCGAGATACACTGAAAGAGATCTTTTTCCGCCGTTCCAAATACCTTTTCGACAGTCGCATCGAGCGAAATCGAGATATCCTTGTTCAAGCAGCATTGCTCTTAACTTGGCACTCAGACAGCGCCGATGATGACGTTGCTGCAGATGCTCACTTCTGGGTCGGTGTGGCCGCTCGGATTGCCACTGGCATCGGTATGCACCGTAATCCAGTATCCAGCAGTTTCGTTACCCGCGATCGGCGAATGTGGAGACGGGTCTGGTTTATCATAGTACAATTTGACGTGATGGTCTCTCTATCATACGGTCGCCCTCAAGCTATGTATGTTATTTTGAGAATGGCCTGTAATTTGCAGATGCTGACCGAGGCTCTAGAAATCTGGATGATTCAGACGTCTCTCCATTAACACCCGCCGATTTTGAAAATTGTGGACCTCGGGTTCAATCGGATTTTGTCATTCATTTTACCGAGCTTTGCACGATGATTTCATATTTGATCAGAGATCGATTTGGTCTTCGCGCCACGGATGAACGGCGCAAGGCGGTTCTCCAAGAAGCCGATGAGTCGCTTGCAAATTGGTCATTAAAGCTTCCCGACAATTTGCGCCTTCGTGCGTCCGACATGGACCCTTGGTCGGCGATGCTGCACTTGACGTATAACAATTTCCTTATTCTGCTGCATCGGCCGCATCCCAGAGCTTCAGCATATTCGGATGATTACGGCCCTCACGATGCGGAGATTTGCAGTGCTGCTGCTGGAGTCATTGCTTCTATCTTTGAAGAGCTGAGGCTAAACGACCGCTTGAAGTTCCTCTGGTACACTGGCGTTCATACTCTATTTACAGCCATGATTCAGGTTCGGGTGGAACTTCGGTTTTCCAACCCCGTCCTGGCGATCAATGCTTTACGTCGCTTCGATTCGGCATCCTACTCTCTGCGCGAGTTAGCTGCATACTGGGTCCATGCAGGAACGATCCTACGTCTCTTCCAAGACTCCAAACGTCTCCAAGAGGACCTCCGTTTAGCAACCACTGGCGGCCCCAAGCCATACGCTGCAGCTCAGCCACAGGCTCCGCCTCCGCCTCCGATCAAAGCGTTGCAAGTCACGTCTCCTGCTCCTGCATCAACGATGCATACCCCACGACCAATGTCGTATGGTGTACCTACCCCCGACTCTACACTTTCGCAGCAGACTACTATGTCGCCGCAAGCAAATCCAGGATTCGAGAACTGGATCACAGCACCGCTCAGACTCAATGTGGGCCCATTGGAACGGAACGATCCTTTTTCAGCTGCAATGCAGGTTGACCAGATTGATCAATCTCGCGATTACCCGGATTGGCGCCAGCTGTTTTCCTTCACAGATTCCGACCTTCCCGTCCCCATGGCGATGGAAGGCCTCATGGAACTCGAGGACGAATGGCGCCAAATATATTGGCAAGATACTCCCATGACAGACCTCATGCAAGATGGTGGCTGGATCCCTGGTGGTTAGTGGCTTCTCATTGCTGTACATACACGACCATGTCTCCTTCCCTCCGTTCCCCGCAATTCGCCCTCCTCTTCGAGCTTCTAGATCAGCTCGAAGCTTCCAATTCCGACCATTTCCTTTTCTACTACAGCGCTGTGGCCTTACGACGAGACGAGATACGCAGGGCACTTCTCACGAGATGTTCCAAAAAGGCTTGCCACGATACCATGTCGAAAATGATAACATACTACCCCTCACCCTCATATACTTTCCAATAGAGATATACAATGTTATGTGCAAGGATCTTTACAGCTTTGACATGAAGATAGACGTACTTATTTATCTCTATACCTGCAGTCAATGAGAGTATGTCGCTAGGCTATATTATAATGCGTAAACCGCATTCAAAGCGCACCAAGATGCGTCTTGCAGTTGCCCGAGAGACCACGCGTGACGACCATTATTCTCATCCAAAGACGAACCGTCTCCAGTTATCTGCAAGCTGCTGCACGCCTTCTTTCAGCTCCCAGCCGCGTATCTCACAGATCTGACGGGCTGCATCTTCGAGTAGTTCATCCATCTGCGCTCCAGCGGTGTGGAGATCACTCTCGATCAAGATGCGCTCTGCAGGCAGCACCTTGATCACATCAGTGACTTTCCGTGCTGATAACCCACTGAAGTTAATGACCGCCGAGAACGAAAAGTAAACGTCCGACGGATTCGACTGTTGCAGGAACTGCCGGATTGGGTCGATCGGTCCGGAGTATGAGTGCATACAGATGCGTGGTGGGAATGGGAGCGGCTGCTGGGTATTTCCCGGCTTACTGTTATTTGTGGTAGTCCGATGCTTCTCTCGTCTATCTTCATCTTCCTCTTCATCTTCGGATATCGCTCCTTCGGCATCTTGTAGCTTCTCTCTTTTCCTTCGGGACAAGGCTACCCGTTCATGTCCTTTCCATAATTCCTTGAGCACCTCGAAGACTGCCCCATGCGACTGTACGCTGTGCACCGAGACAGCGCGCTGCATGTCCCCCGCTAGCTGCAGTTGCGTTTTCAATACTAGTCGCTGATGGGCTATCTTGACTTTATACGGGGACAGACGTCGTCCCTCGCGTGATCCGGGAGTGATTTCTTCGTTGCGATTATCGAGATCGTGTTGTGTCCACGCCCCAGGTAATCGGAACATTTTGTCAAGCCCCACCTCGCCGACGAGAGCGTTTGGAAAGCGCTTCAATCGCTCTCGTGTCTCGGCTACCAGCGTGGATAGCAGCTTCGGTTCTGGGAGGCGCTTTATAAACTCAGGATCCTCGGACGGGGAGGGTGTTAGGACAGCTGCGTAGTGCGCGTCTTTCTGTTGCGGGCTGTCTGATTGTGTGTCGTCTAGGATCTGATGTGAAAACCATGGGTGCCAACCAAAAGCCGGTACAATTCTTCCTTCCCTCGGAGAATCGTTATTGCCATTGACAGACTCCGCCGTTTGTTGAACCAGCTCCTGGTCTTCACCCCGCGTGGCCATGATGGTGAGGGTCGTCGCTTTCATGGCGGGGATGCTGGCGATCGAGGCCATCGTATCGGTCGGATGGCAGTGTGCGTCATAGACACCAATATCCCAGGGGAAAGCATCGGCATTGTGAGGGACATCCTGGGATATGGACATGGTGAGCGGGGAGGGAAGAAAGGCAAGTGGGAGCTTTATCGGAGCTGTCGCATTATCGTCCGGTCGAGTCTGGATGATGTAAGTGGGCTGTCACATGTATTTTCTCCGCAATTTGTCTCGCCTGAAGGAAAGAACGATAAAAACGAGGTCCTCCAGTACCTTGGGGGGCCTTTGTCCTTACTTTGTGTCCTCCGAGGATTCTAACTTCTCCGAGGTACTCCATGGCCTCGATGGGTGCGGTCTTCACGTCGTTGGCGGCGCTGCCTATTCTGGGGCTGGTCTCCATTCCGCTGATTATATCCGCGTGGATAACCATCTCTTTAGCACTGATCACCCTGCTCGTACGATTTTCCGTGGTCTATCTGGAAGTGGGATACGGTCTCTTCCTCAGTTTCTTTACACTTCCAACGTCGAGTTCGTCATTCCTGCCATTTGCTGCGTCCGAACCCGTTACACCCGCTGCTGGGAACTCGAGACGTAACTCGGCGCATGGCCTGATCCAATCTCGAAAGAACAATGAGGATTCTCTCTTGTCCGGGGCATTCACCGCGATCCACGATGATCACACGAATCATAGGAAGAAATCTTATGCACGGAGTATGATTGAAGCGCACCACTTGCCAAACACGCCGTTCCTTGGATTACCAGTCAGTGGTGATGCACGTCGAGACTTTGAAGGCGTGGGCGGTTGGCGCTCATACCGGAATCCACCGCATCTTTCGAGACCCCGTACGTCTCATTCGGCGCACGAACAGCCTTTCAGCTCTCCATCCTCTTCGTCTGCACATAGTATCAACGGCGAGGGTGAAGTGGAGAATGGCGTCGATGCCGATGAACTTGCATGGCTATCATTGAATTATCGCCTGGAATTGCCCTCACAAGTTGTGACGCTAGGAGCCGGATCAAATCCAGCTTCTACCTTGAACAGCCCGCCCAATTTGGAATTCACCGATACCCGTAATGGGGGTAGTTTCCAAGCGTTGGCTTCTTCAACACCTGCTCGTTTTCACCAGACCAACCCCCAACATCACCACCAACATCGTCAAGGCCAGCGACATCACCACCGCTCACATACAACCTCGGCTCTCACAACATTTGAACGCCGCACAGGAGGTGGTCTCTCTATCGCACTCTCAACTCGACCAGACCAAACGAGTCGTGCATTATCCCCTTCAGCCTCTCGAGTCGCACCATTTATGACTCCACAACCGTACTCGCCAGTGCAGAACCGCCCATCTGCACGTATGCTGCCGGTCAGCAATGGGTCCCACTCAAATGCATATCTCTCCAGCTCGGCGGACGGCGCGAGCTCTGGATTCCTTGCAACCAGCGGTGGGAGTTTCGGATCTGGCAGTGGAGGCTACTTTGCACTGCAGCAGCCAGAGAATGGCAATGGAAGTCATCATATGCCCCTGCTTTCAGCCTCAGACACGCCTAGCGGGAGTGGACGTACGACCCCCGGGACCGGCGTGTCGAATGAAGACCGAGACACCTCGGCGCTGGGGTTCACGCGATTGATGGCACATTATCCTACAAGTGTGAGACATCGTAGACGGAGTATTGCTGGTCCTCATTAGAGCATCGGCACTATTGGTAAATATACAGGGCGATGCTGAATGTAGAATTACCATCTGTGGATATGCCTTATTGCATTTGTATCAATCAACACAGTAACAACAGTTTAGACCCTATTGTTGATCACTTCAATTTTGGTGGTATTCCAGTAAGTGAGGCAAATAAAGGACTTACATCTCCATGAATTGAACCCGCGACCTCGAGTTCCCTAAATACTTTACAACAATGCCCCATCGCCATCCCACGATGCCGAAATTCATGGTCCTGAGCTAGCCCGAGGCCACACCCAATATACACATCGCCTCTCTACACCATAACAACATCTAAAGAACCTTTTTATGGATAAAAAAAAAAGGACCTCAATAAATAGTCGATAGCACTGTTTTTGAAACGATGGAAAATTTAAAAATGAAATCCGCGAGCGAGGTGAACCGCCTCACTCGGTTCACCTCACTCGCATCCCGCCCGCCCACTCTCTCCGCCTAGGGATGTGCCCGGTCACCCGTGGAGCATGCTCGACACGGGAGACCGGTACTGTGATTTCCCCTCATGGGGCACACCCAAATGGTCCATCCACTGAAGGTATGTCCAACTAGGCCAGATGAGGGGGGAGAGTGACTGGAAAAACTGGAAGTTGGTGATAAGCTTCGTAGAATGCTTGGACCTGCACTGCTGGCTCGAGTATTCCGACAGTCTCGTCGATAGGAAATGATCAACTTCGTGTATACCCCGAGAGTTCCATTGTATACAACGGCATCAATTCGGAATTGAAGATAAGTACAAGACTGATGAATTGATCTCTGTTCAGGATCTATGTCTAATAAGTTATATTACTGGGTGATGGGTTTCTGTCAAGAAAAACAGCATCCCATCCCATAAGGATAAATCCCAAAAAACTCCAAAAGAGAGAGGAGTCCCAAATTATTCACGCCTCCTTCCAAATCACGCTATCACGCTCCAACAAATTTTCATTGTCCATTACTCGTGGACGACGCACTCTTCCAAACAGGACATGCTCACGCCGCTCTCTCCCGCCGACTGACATCTTCCATCTCGGCCAGAACGACCTTGTTGAATTCTTTCCATCCGTCAAGGTAGAGATGGTGCCCGGCTCGGCTGATGACGACAACCTTGGAAGAGCCCTGATCGGTTTGTCGCTCTTCTGGCGTGGCGCTTGCCAGGACTCGCTGCTTCTCATCTTCTAGGCGGGCAGCAGCAGCGTGGCCGCCAGAGACGTCCATCCAATCATGGTCGCCGTACATGAAGACGACTGGAAGACCGTTCTCGCGACGAGGAGCGGGCGCTTCAGTTGAAGTTGGAGTGGGGTCTTCCGCCGGAGCACTTTCAGGGACCGCAGCCTTGGCTGACGCGTGGGGGAAGATAGAACACGAGGAGGATGCCGAAGCAGGGTTGGGGAGTGGGTTGTTGTCAGCGCCAATCATCTGGCGTCCAACACCGTGGATGCGGCGAATTAGAGGGCTGCGGGCAAAGGCGCCTGGGGCAAGAATGTATGCCAGGGCATACTCGCCACTGCCGCGTTGACTGAAGATGGAGTATGAATAGTCATGAAGCGCCTTTGCCTCGTCAGCCGGGAGATGCGAGAACCTGCGCGAGGTCCAGCCAGACACGATTCGCGGGCCAAGAGGACCGGTCCATCGTACCAAACTGAAGGGAGAGATATTTGCGTCCCATAAATAAGCGAACCACTTGGGCATGTTGCGGCGGGGCGGGCGGTTTGCGGCATCGGCACCTGGCTCAGGGTTGCGGCCGGTGATGAAGCTACCGTCAGTTGTCTTGGGAGCAGACCCCGGAACTGCAGCGGACGAGGCGATATCCCGCTGATCCTGTGTAAGCTCGTTGGCGAGTGTGGATTCCGATGGCTCGGGTACATCCGCCGTCACCGCATATGGGTCCTCAGGGATACCCACAGGGGAAGCTAGGATAAGCTTGTTGAGGTGGCCAGGGTACTTGAGAGCGTAAGCGACTGCCATGTAGCCGCCGAGACTGTGACCAAGCAAAGTGAATCGATCAATCTTGCGCTTGATGCGCCATTCCTCCAGCGCATCAACAAACCATGCCTCTGCTTCACGAATAGCCTCTTCTCTTTCTTTGGCCTTGATCTTAAATGGTGGCCGTGTGCTACGACCCATGCCGAGCATATCCAAGGCATGGAGCTGCCAGCCCCTCAGTCGGCTCAGTGGCTCAAAGTTCTTGTAAAAAAAGCCTAGACCGGCGCCGTAGCCGTGAAGCATCACCAAATGCTGGTCGGCTTCCTCGCCTACTCGCTCTACCGAAAATTCGTTGAGCGCCCGGTCTTTTCCGGAAAGCTCCACCATGCTGGAGCTCCATCGGCGGGGACCATAAGGGTCATTGAGGGAGTTGGTCGAAATCTGCCCTTGCTGATTGTAGTCGGCGGACTGTAGGCTGTCCGGTGTAGATCCGTTGGGGAAACTCGCCGTGTTACCTGTCTGAAGGTGGGTTGGAGGCTCGTGGTGAAGATACGGCAGATAGGATAGGACCTTGTGCTCCGCAGCAGCCGCAGGTAAGCGAGCCCACTGGCACAAAAGCAAGATATTAGCAGTTCGTTCAATGGCGCCGCTCGAGGTTGTGATTCTCGTGGCTTACCCATTGACTAAAACCTTCTCGGTACCCCAACGGAAAGAATGAGGTGCTGGCAGCCGCCGCCCCAGCAGCTGCACGCGCAGCATACGGGGTTCCTTCTTGGCCTTGCATTGGTGATGCGTGCCTTCTATGTTCACGCGATTCCTCTTGAGACGGATTCAGGGACTCTGAGGTCATTGAGGAGTATTGACGACGTCCAAGAGAGTAGGTGGCAAAAGCAACCAGGTGCGCAGAATTGCCCCAACCCCGAGAGACTGGAAGGACGATGGAGCGTATAGGGTTGGCCGAGCGTGAGCCAACCTGACAGATAGTTTCTGTCGCTGGGAGAAGTTGAGATGCGACGCTCATGGGCTGTCGAGGGCGGAAGAAGTCAAGCCGGAGACAAGCCACGCCGCTTAACCCCGACAGGCAACCAGGCGCATACGTCGAACCGTAGGGAGTCGGAGGGATAGAAGAGCCGACGGAAGACGACCGAAGAGAAAAGACCAGGAGATGATTCTGAATCAATCGAGAATGCGACAAAGGGTGAGATCAGCCAGGTCAAGTCAGTAGAAAGCAGGAAAAGCAGGAAGAGTATATATACAGTTCGAGAAAAGTGGGAAAAGGCGGACAGCGATGATGTCGCCGCGATCCGCGTGTCTTCCCCTTCCGATCTTCCCCCTTCCTGCTTCACGCTTCTACTGTTTACCCCGCGATGACCACTGTACTGGGCCGCCAGGGCCGTTGATTTGGGTGGCCGCATTCGTTTCTACAAATCGAGAGAATACCATGACTTCGCCTTTGGACCAGCTCGTCAAGGGCGCTCCGGTGTCGTCGACTGCCCGCGCTCCCACGCCGGAGCCGTTGAATCCCACCCGACCACCAACAACGTCGGACTCGTCGTCCTCGCAGCGGCCCTCAACACCAGATCCTCTAGCCACACTACCTTCCTCCCCACCTCAAATATATTTGAATCTGTTGATTCTCGAAGCCTCGCTTCGTGCACAATACCTGGCACTGCGAGAGCGTCGCCGCCAAAACACCTTCTTTCTGCTACTCCTTGCAGCTTGGATCGCCTACTTTGCATATGCATTGTTCCTGCGTCCCCGCGAAGATGGACGCGGTGTGGGTGGCTCGGTATACTGGGTGATTGAAATGGGAGAGAAAGTCGCTCTTCTTGGTGGGGTAGTGACAGCTCTGCTAGTTTGGGGAACAGGGCAGTGGGAGCGCGGTATCCGCTGGCCCCGTCGGTGGCTGGCGGTTGCGAATCGTGGCCTGCGCGTGATGAACACCAAGATCATCGTGATCCGTGGGCCTTGGTGGCAAGAGATGCTCTCCTACGTCTCCTTCCTCTTCCCTTTCTCCGCGCCATTTTTCCCTTCGTCGTCGGGCAATTTCCACCTCGTCGAGCGGCACCCGTCCGATAAGCAGCGTAGTCGGCAGCACTACCAGCAATACTATAATGGCGGCGACAGCGAGTCCGGCCTGGTGGAAGAAGACCTCAGTGCCGGTGGTGACTATATCCGCCTACTTTTGCTACCCAAATCATTCTCACCCGAGTTCCGCGAGAACTGGGACGACTATCGTACCGACTTCTGGGATAAGGAAAACGAGCGCCGAGCTCAGCTGCGTCATAAACTGCGCGAGCGTGAGCGCCAGCTTGCCCAGGCCGAGGGAGGCTGGTTTTGGCGTCTTGGATTAGGCTGGCGCGCCTCGCAGCGCCGCCGCCTAGTATCAGCCACCCTCCACAAATCTCTAGAATCAGAGTCCAAGTTCCGACCCGGCGCTCATCATCAACATGCCCCATCCGTCTCATCAAGGCTCAGCCAGGAACTTCGCGCACCTGCTACCCGCCGCAACACCAGGTCCGAATCATCTCATTCTCGGACCTCCTCCCGCAGCTCCACCCCAGTTGATGTTGATGACCGGCCACCTTCTCGCTCCTCCGCAACTGGCCGTCCCCGTCGTGGGAGCACCACTCCGTCGATCTCGGGGCCAGAAGCGAGCCCTCAACAACGGAAACGCAAAGGCTCTAAATCACTACGTCGTGGGTTGTCGCCTCTGACGCAAGCTCAAATTCGGGAGGGTGTTCGCACGCCGTCGTTCTCGTCGGACGATTCTGGTATAATGCCGATGGAGAGCAAGGACAAGGAAGCTATTCCTACCTCTGCCCCTGATGCGAGTCCCTCAGTTTAGACTATATGATAATTTTGGGCCCTACTCTACTATGATGCCGTCTCTTTCTCGTGCTGCGCCTAGGTGTTGATTTGAGATTTCCCCGTTTGTAATATTCCTAGCGTTCGTGGCATATGAGTTCCATCATAGATATCATTCATTTGCATGGGCCGTTGAACATGTGTCTTATTGAGATTTGTTGCAAGAGGCAGAAGTAGCCCGATGGTATTCTCTGGCATCGTCAAGATCTAGTGCCTCCGGGGGCCAATCAATTGAGACGCCTTAAATTCATCCATTTCTGTTGATCCTTTGCCTTGCACAATTCCCGTCCATTGCCCTTGTTAGCGTCAAAGACATGAATCTGATCGAGACGTGTGTATAGTCTAAGGGATGGATACCAAACATATGACCTCAATAGCAAGTAATCATGATTATCAGAGGATTCAGATTCAATTGTCGATACCTTAGCATCTAGAACCACTTGCTCATAATCTTCTAGATACGACCATCTTGAACAAGCTGCTTCTCCCTCAAAGGTACGACTTGACGTCAATCTCAAATTCCCGCAGAGAAGTAGCCTGGGATCATCGGTCTGCAGAGCGACCACCGGCAAAATAGATCACAATGATCGGGGATTACGATTTCTTCACGTAGTTTCAATGCCCTCAATGTAACGTGTAAAATACCCGACTGCTTAGCTTAATTTTCCGCCATACAAAAGCTATCAGTGCGGGGATCTGATGGGATGCTTGCTTAGCCAGGGTTACTGAGAACAGTGCCGATCTTGCTCTTATTTGTGAATTAACCCGAGAGGGGATTCAAGTAGATCAAGATTTATAAAAGCCTGGAGTCATATCCAATCGCCCCCTTGGATAAGCCTGTTAGAGCAATTCGTGACGATGTATTTGGGTCTCTTCTTGAGCTGTAGCACACTTACTACTGCTGCTTCGTTATGGTCGTCGAGAGCAGCTTCTTGGGATACAACCAATGAAGCTTTTGTTCTTGGGAATGGAAAACTTGGCGGTAAGTAGACATGATATCCTAATTTAGGTATAAAGGAATGCTAATCGTTCTTTAAAATTAGTGATGCCATGTGGAGAAGCCGGAACCGAGAAGCTCAACCTCAATTACGATGATCTTTGGAGTGGAGGGCCATTTCAGGTTGATGTGAGTCTCAAAGCTCTCCTTGATTTCTCATTAATATGCTGAGTCTACCAATAGGAATACCGTGGAGGAAACCCCAATTCGAGTATGGTGAACATCTTGAATGATATTCGCGCCGAGATCTGGAAAAATGGGACCGGAGGTACGAACTGCCAGGTCTGGTTGATGTGCAGAATCGCTGATTGAATGTAGATGACAGCCGACTACACGGCGACGAGAGTGGCTACGGCTCCTACCACTCACTAGCCAATCTCACTGTTCATATCGAGGGTATAACAGACGCAACTGGATATAATCGATCTTTAGATCTGAGCAACGGCGTACATACGACAATTTATTCAACAGCGGATGGCACCTACACCACTTCGATTTATTGTAGTTACCCCCACCAGGTCTGTGTCTATCATCTGGAAACACCCGCTGTACTGTCAAATGTCTCGATCTGGTTTGATGAGCTTGTGGAATCGAAATCCCTATACAATACCACCTGTGGGCCCTCATTCGCTCGCTTGCGTGGTATCACCCAAGAGGGACCTCCTCGTGGGATGCTGTACGACACCATCGCCCAAAGCTCCCTTCCAGGTGTTTGTGATACTTCAACAGGCCGCCTTAGCATCAGCTCTTCCAGCAGTAAAGCCTTGACACTGGTCATAGCAGCGGGGACAGATTTTGACGCAACAAAGGGCAATGCAGCCAATGGGTTCACTTTCCGAGGCGAGGATCCTGCAACACAAATTCAAAAACTCACCAGAACCGCTTCTCAATTACCAGAGTCGAAGCTTCGAGCTGCGCATGTGGCAGACTATAGTTCTTTGGCAAGTGCATTCGTCTTAGGCTTGCCGGACCGTCATGGCTCGTCGGCAGTGGAGTTCTCGGAACTTATCACCAGATATAGTGCCGACTCAACAGCAGGAGATCCATTCCTGGAGAAACTCATATTTGATTATGGAAGACATTTGTACATTTCATCATCGCGAGAGAACAGTCTGCCACCAAATCTACAAGGAATCTGGAGCTCGACGCAGAGTTCAGCTTGGGGTGCAGATTATCATGCCAACATCAACCTACAAATGAACATGTGGGGTGCGGAAGCTACTGGCTTGGGAGAATTGACGGTATCCGTTTTCAACTACATGGAGCAAACATGGATGCCTCGAGGTGCAGAAACCGCCCAGTTGCTTTACGGAGGCAACGGATGGGTGACACATAACGAGATGAATATCTTTGGTCATACAGGGTATGCATCATACTCTACCGAGCTTCCCAGTTGATCCAACTGACATGACTGCACTCTTAGAATGAAAACTTGGCAGACTTCTGCGGATTATCCTGCAGCACCGGCATGGATGATGCAGCATGCCTGGGATCACTACGACTACTCCCGCGACATCCAGTGGCTGCGTAAACAAGGCTGGCCGATGCTGAAAGGGATTGCCGAGTTTTGGCTTTCCCAGTTGCAATCTGATCAGTTCACTCACGATGGTTCGCTCGTTGTTAATCCATGCACATCCCCAGAACATGGCCCAGTCACATTTGGGTGCACTCATTGGCAACAATTAATCTATCAGGTCTTCGAGACCAGTCTGCAGGCTGGAGAAATGGCGCAAGATGGCGATGAATCATTCTTCGCCGAAGTGAGGAACAAGCTAGCCAAGCTCGACAAGGGCCTTCACATTGGCTGTTGGGGGGAAATCAAGGAATGGAAATTACCTGATAGCTACGGGTATGATGTCGAGGGTGATGAGCACCGCCACCTATCTCATCTGGTTGGCTGGTATCCCGGATGGACCATCTCATCGTATCAGAATGGATATGCCAATGCTACCATCCAGGAAGCCGTGAATACCTCCCTCACCAGCCGCGGACCTGGAATTTCAGACTCCAATGCGGGATGGGAAAAGGTTTGGCGATCTGCTTGCTGGGCTCTCCTGAACAATACGGAAAATGCATACTATGAGCTTCGGCTGACCATTGACCAGAACATTGGTCAGAGTGGACTGTCACTGTATAGCGGTGGAGATAGCCCCTCGGGCCCATTCCAGATTGATGCCAATTTTGGATACGTTGGCGCTGTGCTTAGTATGCTTGTCGTGGATTTGCCTTTGGATAGCTCGAGCTCCGAGTCTGCTCGTCGCACTGTGGTTCTTGGTCCAGCTATTCCTAAGACTTGGGCGGGTGGTAGCGTTCAGGGCCTCCGTCTACGAGGCGGTGGACGTGTAGATTTTTCGTGGGATGATCATGGTGTGGTTGACAAAGTACAGGCCGATGGACTTGCGGAGAATGTTCACCTTGTCAATGTGCAGGGAAAGTCGTTCGCATAATAGGTTCTTAGTCCCTATATCTGACATCAATCATTACCTTATCCTTTGCTTTTAACTATGTTTACCCGTAATCGGACCGATTGGGCTCCCGGTCACGTGCCTCTCGGGATACCCCGGACTCCCCGCGGGGCCATCGGGTTGGCCCGAAGTGACTCGGTCATCGCCGCAAATTCCCCGCGGTGCCGATAACGTGGGAAAATTTGCTTTTTAACTAACGACTTTTGACTTGCCGTTCATTCTCACTTTTATACCCCGCGCAGCCTGACTTCCTTCTGAGCTTCAATCTCTGTTGTGAAATACACTAAGTCGTCCAGCAGCGCCCAATTGAGACCGGAGGAGATTCGTCCAGATACCCGCACGCGACACCGTCACACCGCAAAAGCAATCCCTCATCATGGGCAACGACAAGAAGATCGGCGCCTACTACGCGCCTACCGGTGGCCTGCCACCCCAAACACAGCTCCTCACCGATCGTGCCATGTTCACCGAGGCCTACGCCGTCATTCCCAAGGGCACCTTCAGCGACATCGTGACGAGCTTCCTGCCATTCTGGGACAAGACGCGGCTATGGGTGATCGCACGCCCGCTCTCCGGCTTCGCCGAGACCTTCTCGCAATACATCATGGAGGTGCAACCGGGCGGTGGTAGTGACCGCGCCGAGCTCGATGACGGTGCCGAAGGTGTTGTGTTCGTGGTCGAGGGCGAAGTGACCATCACACTGGCCGGGGAATCGCACACACTCACCGAGGGCGGCTACGCTTATCTCCCACCCAAGAGCGGCTGGACCCTGCGTAACGCCGGCAGCTCGACTGCCCGCTTCCACTGGATTCGCAAGACGTACGAATCCGTGCAGGGTCTCGATCAGCCCGACCCGCGTTTCCTTAACGAGAAGGATATCAAGCCCACCGAGATGCCCGGCACTAACGGTGCGTGGGCTACCACCCGCTTCGTCGACCCCTCCGATCTGCGTCACGATATGCACTGCACCATCGTCACCTTCGAGCCCGGTGGTGTCATCCCCTTTGCCGAGACCCATGTTATGGAACACGGTCTCTACGTGTTGGAGGGTAAGGCCGTGTACCGCCTCAACCAGGATTGGGTCGAGGTCGAGGCCGGTGATTTCATGTGGCTGCGGGCTTTCTGCCCGCAGGCTTGCTACGCTGGTGGCCCGGGCAAGTTCCGCTACCTGCTTTACAAGGATGTCAACCGCCACATGAAGCTCGCTCATCACTCGCGACTTTAAGCTTCTTTGTCCAAGAATGGGCAAGTTGTTTAGATGAGATAATGCTAGTAAATGACCAAAAACACATGTATATACAATGAACAATTAGAGCTTCTTCTTCCTCATCATACGGCCTGAATTTATTTGAGTTCTGCATACAGTGGCTACGGAGTGGACGGAGTATGCATTCTTGACCTGCTTTTGGTCTGCGTAGAGAGGCCTTGTTTTCACGATGAGCAGCAAATTTCATCATAGTGGGAGAGGACCAGGCAAAAGACACTACGTCAAGACTACAACTATGCGAGCAGAGCTTGGTTCAATATGTTCACATTCAATATCCCCATATTCTTGATCAAGTAAGCCTATTTCAATTTCCACATGTATCGACTCCATACTCCAGACAAAGAGAAACATGATATCATCCCAATGCAGCAACCAGAAAACATGCTCATGAGTAGGGCTAATGATACGCAGAGAAGAAGCCGCGTAAAGATAGCACAATCGGTTAGATACGGTAGACATTCTCGTCATCCTCGAGGAACCTATAAGAAATTAATACCCTGGCGCTGTTGATATCAAGGGGAAAGGGTGTACTCACATCAGCAGGTTCTCCTCGTTCATCTTGCTGAGCGCCTGGATAGCTTCGGGCCGCGAGAAGACATGCGCAGCACCGTGTTGAGGCGAGGCACGTACAGCAGTGTTGACAGCCTCGATCAGCTCGTCGACATGAACCATGTCGCCGTCAGCGAATACCTTGGTACCCATGAGAGGACCCAGGGTCTGACGGAAAACAGCCATGCGGGCAGGCGTAATCGGTTGCGCCGACGTAGTAGTAGACTGCGAATCGTCTGTCTGGGACTGTACCAGCTGGGATGCAGGGTGCGAGGAAGCCACCGACATCTGGGACTCGGTATGAGTCTGAGTGCGGGCGGTCTGGCTTGACCGCAGACGTGAAGCGCGCGGACTGGACGTGTAGAGGCTGTCAGGGTCATCTTCGGGAGCTGCAGTGCTGGCAGCTACCCGCGTTCTCGTCGTAGCTCCACGACCAGGAGTAGCGGCTGATGTCCCACGGAAGGGAGTATCATCATCGTCGTCATCGTCAAGCTCGGGCTCGCTTTCATCATCCGACTCCTCGAAGGAAGTGACCTTGCGGCGCTTGCGGCGTACATCCTCCAGAATTTCCTTGAACATAGCAAAGCGCAGAATGGCCTCTGCATGCTTAGCATCCTTCTCATCCACACGGTTGGACAGGCGGGCCTTGGCGTGTGCGGTGGAAAGACGGATCAGCGTCTCAAGGGTACGAGGTGTGATAGGAGAGGTACGGCGCTGAGTGCTAGCAAGGTCGTCGTTACGCAGAGCGGAGTAGGCCGCAATAATGTGATCGGCCGCACCCTTCGTCAAGACAGGCTTGATACGGGACTTGGCGTATTGGATGTACTTCTTGATGAAGGGGATGCTGATGATCTCCACATTCTTGCCCCGATTGCGGCCAGTGTTGACCATGCCGCCGTGGAGCATGACGTTGAACTTCTCAAACACCTCAGTGGGTTGATTGGCATCAGCGCGGTCTTCGATGCCAACCCCCAAAGTTTGATTAAGCTGCTCACGAACGGGTGCACCCTCCTCGGTGCCGGGCTGACGGTAACGGTGCATGCGCAAAACGTGCTCAGAGACGATGCGGTCCTTGGCATCCTCGATATCGTCGGTAACGACGAAGAGCAAATCGAAACGGGATAGAAGGGAATCGGGAAGAGCGATGTTCTTGTGAGGATCCTTGTGCGGATCGTACTGGCCGTAAATGGGGTTGGCAGCAGCCAGGACACTGCAGCGGGCGTTCAAGCTAGTGTGAATACCTGCCTTGGCAATGGTAACGGTTTGCTGTTCCATGACTTCGTGAATGGCAACACGATCAATATCACTCATCTTGTCAAACTCATCGATACAGACCACACCGCGGTCAGCAAGAACCATGGCACCGGCCTCCAAACGACGCTCGCCGGTCTCCTTATCCGAAGTGACGGCGGCAGTCAAACCGACACCAGAAGAACCACGACCAGTGGTAGCAATAGCCAGAGGGGCCGTGTTCAACACGAACCGAAGAAGTTGAGACTTGGCCGTGGAAGGATCACCGACCATCAGAATGTTGATATCACCACGAAGATGAGTACCGTTATCCAGATTCTTCTCCATACCACCAAGTAGCATTAGCAGAATGGCCTTCTTAATGTAGTCGTGTCCATGAATACTTGGAGCGAGCGACTGGGACAGCAGTTCAAAGACATTCTTCTTCTTGGCAATCTTGTTGATGTTTCGAATGTCGGTATCCGTGATGGTACTCTGCGCAATGCCCGATCCACCCTTGGAGGAAAGTTGGATGATGTTGTTGGCCATGATAATGGTGCGGAAAGTAGACGATCCGGAGCTTGCGTTTCGGTTTCCGAGTGTGCGATAAATACCGACCAGCTGGATTCTGTCTCCTGGCTTGGCCTTGTCGACAAGATCGTCATCGAGAATAACATCGACGCTGCGAGGCAGCTGACCGGCGGGGGCTCGTTCGGGCATTTCTTGGATCGAAATCGACTGGTGGTCCATGTAGGTGGAATAGCCGTACTCGGTAATAAGCTAGATAAATGAGTCTCTTGTTCTTCTTGCTTCTGCCTGCATACGTTGTACTTACGGGGTTCTTATCTTCGTCTTCCTGGGGGTAAACATTCAAGCTCGTAGCACCGCCGGCCGTCATGGTTTGATCCCGGTATTTCCTCGACAAGAAACGATCCTTCTTCTCGCTGTAATGAACACTTTGAATCACCTTTGGGCGGACAAGAGAGCATTTCGTCACGATACCCTCCAGAGATACCATACGGTTCAGGTGGGAAGAACCAAGTGTGCGGGGGTTGCAAGAAAAGTCTCCGAAGGCTCCGACGTAGGCGCAGTAGTAGTTCTGTCGTTGCATCTAATTAGTCGTGCTTGGCTCCAAAGGTTTCAATATTCCAAAAATGCATACCACTTCATCGAGCTTCTCCTTCTCGGGGCGGTTGGGTAAGCGCTTGACAACCTCTTTCAAGGCATGGTCAAAGGCTTGAGAGTAATCGAACGGGGACATGCAAAGCCTAATCAAACGATTCAATCAATAACTCAATTCTAAACTTATCAGAAGCTTGTCAAACCTACCCGTCGGAGAGCTCGCGGTTGTGTGCTCGGATTTCATCAAGGCTGACCTATACGACCATCAGCTTTTTCCCACCTTTTCAAGGTAGAAGAAAAAATATTAACAAACGCACCGTCAGACGTCGTAGTCCCCTGTTCAGCATCACCACAATATCGACTCGATAGCTGTTTCATTTGGTCAGAATTTCAATCTGAAATCCATTGGTTTCCAGCCCAACGAACCTGCGTGCCCGCTCATCACCTATAGCAGAAAAAACCGACCACGTTAGATCAAGAGCATGCTGAGAGGATCATTTGCGTTAACTTACTAGGATCGAGGAATTCGATAGCAGCGCGCACACGATCCTGTGCGGCCTCATCTCGCAATTGGATTCCATCCATGGCTGTGGTGTTTAATGTGGTCGGAGAATGGCAGGTCGAGAGGAGGGGAGGAGCTTGAAAGTTGGGATGTGCGCGCTCGCCCGATCGGGCAAAATTGGATCGCGTCCCACGACGCGGCGCGCGTCGGATTATGTAAGGCTATCATTTTCTTGGCATTTCTCAATCAACAAGACCGACTCATAACTACAGTAGCCGAGTAATTGCTACTAGGCTCATGTAGAGCATAGGA